CTTCTACTATGAAAGTTTAGTTTCGCGATTATTGCCTCCACATCGTATCTCTTGTCCCAACGTGTTACGAGTCGCATATCGACGTGGTTGCACACATTCTCCATGATTTTACCAAATATAGCATTATTCATTAATTTATATAAATTTTTTTCAAACTCGTTGTTGGCAAGAGTTCTAAAATTCATATTGAGTTCGATGTATTCGCGAAGCCATGGAGATTGTGCGAATTGCAGTACGCGTAAATTTTTACAATTTTGAGGCCGTGACGAATACATTATTGTAGATTGATAATGAATTACGTAATGCTTCTTATCATACAACGTAGCGAGAAGCTTCTTCTCTCGCTTGTCGGATGGTTTCTCGCGCGTCGGACAGAATGGTAAGTCTGTGTGAACGTCGTGAAGATGTTGCGGATACTCTAAGCGTACCTCGAGAACATAATCTGTTGGTGATTCTGTCGCGACGGCCGTAACATCAAAATTTTCTACATCGACTTATCGGCGTATGGTAATAGTTGACACATTGCCCAACCGTACAGATTGTTAACGTCAAAGTACGAGGGGTATCCAGAAAATAAGTTCCGTTTTTTTTTTTACAAATAAAGTTTTTATTGAAAAAATCTAAAATTTACATGGATAATACTTGACAACTTCTAGTCTTTTTCTACATAATTCCCGTCAATCTCAATACATTTTGTATATCTGGAAACAAGCTTCGAAATCCCTTCTGCATAGAAACTTCCCGCCAGTTCTTTAGTCCAGTTAGTTACAGCTGTCTGAACTTCCTCGTCGCTTTGGAAGCGTTTAATTAAATTCTCGGACCCATCTCCGCACCATAGATTCACTCATCACACTCTCTCCATATACAGAAACAAGCTGTTTGTGAATATCAACCGATTTAAAATCTTGAGCAAAAAGAAACTGAATGATGCCGCGCAAAACAACTCGAGAAGGAATCGGAATGGAGGTGGCGGGACGCGAAGTGGAGGACTCCATTTTGATAACCTCTCCTGACCGTGTTTCACGAGCTACTGACGCCGAACACCGCTCATTCTATTCGGTAGCTTCCCCTCTTCAATGCTGTGTTGCCAGCTCGCTCATACATCAACCTTACTAAACGTATAATACAAACAGAACTTATTTTCTGGATACCCCTCGTACATAAGATACGTTGACGGTTTCAATAGATCATACGATTGCATGTATTTATTGTTAGCCCGTGCATATCTGTTTGAACATTAACTCAGACCTCCACGTATACTACGTTCAATGAACATGATGTTCGTAAGAAGTTCGAATTTTATACATGTATGTTTTAACATCGCATCCTATGTAAAGCCCGGTAGTGTATAATAATACGCGGGATGCCTGTAACTCGCGATGCAACTGTTACGGAAATTTTGAAAAACGTCGGCTAACAACAAAATGTCTGTCTTTAAATACGGATTGCTATATTCACCGAGCGTTCGAATGTAGAACCGCTGCCACACGTTGACAGCGTGCGCGTAATCGCTCTCGGATATGGTATCATCTGTCAACGAACTATAAAATAATTCGCGCGATGGTAACTCGGTTTCCTCTAACTTTTTGCCGCAGTCAATGTACTCGTACGGAAATATATATGCCTTTATGTGAGAAGAAATCCTCCGCGCTGAGGTTGAAAAATTCTAACCGTGTAATTTTCAATTTATCTTTATCGAGATAGGATGCCAATTTTTCTAAACTAGTACTGAGAAATTTATAAGAATCAGTAAAATTTATACATTTTTTCTTATTATTTGCAGTGTCGTCGACATTTTGTGAAGGAAATCTATTTTTCTTTCGTTATAAGAAGTATATCTACTCGTCCTTTATACGCGACAGTGTATATATCCTTGATAATAATCTGACTATATATCCTTGATAATAAAACGCGTGTCGTTTATCCCGATAAATTATGAAAAACTGGGAATGCAATATAAATTTCTGTAATTCAAGTTGCAATTTTTGAATGTCCGATACCTCTGTATCGCCCGGTCAAGTGGCAATGATCGCGTACACGCGTGTCATCTAATGGAACGGTTTTTCACACATATGGCATTGCGTAGCATTGTTAAAATTTATCATATCATCGCGTAAAATCTGCCATGGGAACGTTAGTGAACAAGATAGTCATTATTTTATGTGCTAAGTTTTTAAATTCCTCGGCGAACCACGCGACGCAATCGTTCCGCGACAGAACTTATATATACACAACGAATCGTCATATGAACAGCAAACATAATATGCTAAATTAAATACCCGATAATGCTGGTACGTGTAGCTAGACGTTTCGATATCCCTCTCTGACTTCTCCAGGATGCATTCCAAGGCGTAGATAGGCTATGAACAGGATACGTTCCTTCCTGATATAGTTGCCGAAGCTCAACCACTTGTCGCCTTCGCTTCGTAATCTAATGGCACATAAATGTTGTTTAGTTTTTTGCAGTCTATTGCGTGGATCTCCAATTTTGCATTCGAGCTAAAATAGTGTAAACATCTGAAAAAAAGAACGTATAATTATTATTTTTTCAAAGAACATTTTGTATTATAAAAAATTTTTATGTAATTTTTAAATATATCAAAAATACTTCTTACGCTCTTTCTTGCTGAGTTGCAAGTTCGCAAGGCGAGACAGATCCATGCAAAATGCTCCGCGTTATTGTTCTGTGGATCCTGCATGTAAAACAAATTGACGTACTTGTCTTTCTTCATATCGGTGAGCAGTAAAGGAAGAATCGTTATTTCTTTTTGCTTCTCGAAGTCATACACGTTGATGGAAATGTCATTGAGATTTTCAAATTTTTTAATTTGACTCAATATTATTGGAAACTGGATGTCTTAATACCATCGTATAATATGGATAACTCTCGATTTGTATTACTTTGAGCCGAGTGAGAGCGGCTATCACCGACCAGGCAAAATACGCATTGTCTAAAGATTGCACGTTGATTATCGCTTTCTTCATTTTAATTTCCCTCGGTAACTCAATGTGGCATCCCGCATGCAATGGATTGTACTTATTTATGTTAATAGTCAAATTTAAGATACGCGGCAGCGTCCACCCGCTATCGCGCTCCTGAAATTCCTCGAGAGATGCTAGAGATGGGCTCGACAATGCGCGACGCGTACCATTCTTGTAAATCGAACGATTTAAAGAGTTCATAGTTTTTCATACTGATATGTTTATTTGCGCGTTTATCACCTGATATAAATTTATCATTAAACACGATGTTTACTTTAATATTGTTATGTTTCTGCATAACAATTTGCACACGATCAAGCACAATTTTTTTCGCGTCTTCAAGAAACTGGCGAGGTTCGATGTGTCCAAAGTTTATTATCGCGCCGATCAGTATACGGATTTCGAACGCGATATCTATCTCGCGCCATTTGAGTCCCGCGCTGTATCCGGCACCCACTTGCATGAAACGTCCACGCACCGAATCCTTTAAACTTTCGAGTCGCGCGATACGAGCAATCAACGATCGGTAACCGCGGATGTTTAATGCTGCTATGTTCCTCCGTCGATGAAATCGTTGCATCGTTGTTCTCACGCAAGAAATTTTTCTCGCGTATTCAACTGAGTGGTTTGTTACGCTCCGTTTGCTCCATATTATAATATCCTTTTTTTCACAGTCTTTTCATTAAAAAAGTTTTTGAGAAAAATGTATATTTTTTTAATCTTTTTGTATCTTTGACAAAACTTTTACAACATCTTGTATCACTGTGTGCAAATAGGATGTTACATGGCATCATTTAAAAAAAATCTTTGCATTCCAAACAGGAATAATCTTCGAAAATCACACATACGTCGGTATTATGTTTTCGAACGGCATAAAGATGTGAAAATTGATATCATATATTCTTACGATGCATGATGAGCAATATCTTCCATGACCATCAATGTAGCATATCTTTTTCACAGGACGTAAGGTATTTACTTGAGCTCGATTTAAATCTTGATATATTATTTCAATTGTATCATCATCGTTCTCCATGTCACTGCCGAAACGACAACACGAATCATTTGACAGAACATGATCTTCATCGGACATTTCCTGGTCAGACATTTCTTCATGTTGATCATTTATTTCTTCTTTCATCACTTCATTCTCATGAGGTGCGAAATTCGTTTTTTCATTAAACATACACAAACATATAATACCGATATAACACCAAAGAAACTTCAAACTCGATTGCTGAGTGTATCTTTTCGTTTTTATATACTATGATTGTCGCATTATTTCTTTAATATGCTGCGTGTCTTAACGTATTTTTAAAGTGTTTGAACGTTTTCGAAGGGCAATTTTTTGCAATTGCAGCGATACGCTAAAAATTTTTATTTAAAAAGAGTGTGGGAACGTAGAGTGAGATGTACGTTATTTGTTATATTGTTGGCATAATAAAAAAAGGTTCGATAAAAAGGTTCGATTAGAAAGATTGATATGATCACTTTAGACAAACAAGGTTCGATATGATCAGAGTTCATTCTTATGATACGTGCCACTCCAATGGAGTTCTTCGAAGTATCTAAAAAAAAAAGTCCCCATTTTGGGATATGTAAAAAAATGTGGAGTACTATTTAAAAGAAGGACAATATTATCGCATCAGTCTCTCAGGCGGACAGTTATCGTTAAGTTCTCCGAGAAAAAAATCTCAAGCTATGAACTATTACGTTCCGATTCAACAGAATGAAGCATGCAGGTGACAGTAAGTTTGTGTTCAATTACATAAAAAATTTTGTGCACACATTTTATATATTATATATTTTTCTGCGTATCGCTTATTTTCTATTTCTTTTTACAGTGTATCTTCTCATTTGAAACCTCGCTATATCCCTTACATCTTGGGAAGGAGATACTCATTAACGCCTGCGGCTTATAAATATTTAAACATAGGAATCAGCGTAGGACTTGTATCCCATGTGGAAATTGCAATTGGTGATACTCGAGATAACTGGATAATCCTGCCTCACGCAACATGGAAGGCATCGACAGACGCGAGGATATTGAGCAGCTCTTGCGATCTGTAATTACGTCATCATCCTTAACTATTCAAGGTCTGAATGTGGAATTTTGTAAATTGTACATACAAAGTAAAATTATCATTATGCGATAAATGTTTGTACAAGGGGAAATCAATAAGTATCTGTGTTAGTAATGAAGACGCAAGCTTTTCACAAAAATTGTTTTTATTTTTCAACATCAACTCCTTTTAGGAAGATACACTTTTCCCAACGCTTCTGCCATTTTTTTAACCCCTAAGAAAAATACGATTTGTCGAACTCTGTAAAATAGGCCTCTGTTTCGGCGGTGACCTCCTCATTGGATATGAATTTCTTTCCATCGAGCCATTTTTTTTAAGTTTGGAAACAAGAAGAAGTCACAGGGAGCTAAATCCGGAGAGTACGGTGAATGTGACAGCAATTCGTAGCTCAATTCGACCAATTTGGCTGTGGCGACTGCGGAGGAGTGAGCCGGTGCATTGCCGGAACAATCGCAGCACCCATCGGGCCGACAGCTTTTTCATTCTCAAGTTATCATGCAAAATATTAAATACCGTTCCGTATGATACTAGCCTCTGCTACTTCATGCATTTTCGTTCGGCGATCAGCGAAAATCATGGACTTTCTCAACGATTTCCTCAATAACCACGTCTGCCGGACGGCCTGGGCGCTCCTCATCAAAAACAGACGAACGATCACGTTTGAATTTGTTGAACCAATACCTGACGGTTGTCATAGATGGAAGAGTTCCCATAGACGGCATCCAACTTTTTATTTCTTTGCACGTTTTTCGATCCGAAAATAAGAAACGAATTACAGATCGATATTGCTTTTTTTCCATTGTATCGGGAAACATCAAACACGCTCACTATGAATTGCTGTCAAATCAAGACTATTGCATGAATCACTCTGAAATTTTGTGGCGTCGTTTGAAAGATGGTAGTATATAGTACCAACTTGCAATGTCGCCTGTCTTGAAACACGGGTACTTATTGATTTGCCCTCGTATATGATGCCATTAACCTCACTTTTCATGCTTGATCGCGAACATTGTGTCGAGCATATATATTTAAGACTATCTCAGAATGTGTATAACACGAATGAGAAATTTAAATATTTTATTTCATATTTACATCAAGAATGTGTTACTAATAAACGCGATGTTAAATATGTTGCACAATATTTGTGATAAAAGTTCCCTTATAGAATGTGAATTGGTAGCTTTGGATTAAATTGTGTACCATTTACGTTACACGAATAAAAAAATGTGACTATTGAAATAAATATTAATAAATATTACTCTATGTATAAAATTATTCCTTTGTCCCTACATCATTCCTTCGTCATACTCCGTATATTAGTTGATAAGGAGCTCACAACTATTAGGTGTTGGAATTAATTCGTAGCGTTTTTTAATGAAAGAATGTTATTTATTTCACATGAGCATTAAAAAATACATTAATGAAAGTACTTCCCATCACTTGTAAAACGCTACGAATTAATTCCAACACCTAATAAAAAAAATAATGATTACATTTAGACGCTAAGTCATATTATTTAAAAATCATTAAATGAATACATCTTAATAAAATCGAGAAGAAAAGACAACGAGGGGAAGAATACAACGAGGGAAGAAGAGAGAGCGCGAATAGACTGCAACGAGAGGAAGCGAGAGAGCATGAGTAAGACGGTAGGTATAGGGAAAAAGCACTGCAACGGGAAAAAGAGAACGCGCGAATAATGTGGTAGGTATGGGACTGCAACAGGAGGAAAAGAAAGAGAAAGCATGTAGAGAGTAAGTATAGGGCCACAACGAGTTGAAGGGGGACCTTATAATGGGGTGAAAGAGAGAGAATAACAACAGTCTCCTGTCTTTCTCCCACGGTTTCCTCGCTCAGTGACATCGATTCCCTCTTTCTCGGTCCCCTCGCCATATGGCGTCAGATTCCCTTCCTTGAACATCACGTCTAGCAACGTATTTCCCCTCACTCTCGGACCCTCTCATACACATACATACATACCGCATATATGTATATGCATTAACACGAATTGATCCAGAAGTAGTATACCTATGTACGTTAATATTGTTAAAAATCTTCATTTGTAAAGTAGAGACTCATACTCAAGTAGCTTAACGGCCATCCTTTGCATAGTGTCAATGAAAAAGAATAATCGTAGGGTTCCTTTAAATTGAGATCAATCGCGAACACAGGCTGTCAACAAGTCGCGATTATTCTTCGCGAAATCTTCCTTTATCGCTCGTCATGTTAACACAACACACTAGACTGGTGTCAATCACCAGTCACACGGCTCTCTCGTCTGAAGGCATTTTCGTTGCGGTCCGACCACACTCACGAGGCACTCGATCCGTATTGAGAGCGAAATTCTAGCAATCTCATTTGCTGACTAGACAATTCAATCATTGTCCACGTGCTCGTGCGTGACTGTAGTTTCACCGATTACCGCGCCGTCATTCGTTTGCAGAGTCCAGTGACATGCGACACTGAAGTTGTGTGCGGATCGCATAAATTCGTTGAGTGTAAGGAGGCATCGGACGAGGCGGGTGAGATGTCGAAAGAAGAATGATCATCGCACTTAAAATTACCGTGCTCTATGCGAACCAACGTCTATGACATGCGGAATCGACTTCATCAATCGATACAGTGCTCTAATGAACGGTGACGGCGAGGCCTCTCAGAACCAATTGTCAGTCGCCGCGTTGCGGTTAAACAGGCAAAGCAGCCAAATAATTTAAACTGTAAAAGCACGGCTTTTCTAGAAAGATCGAGTAAAAACGAAAATTGTTATTTCGCCGCGTAATCCTTCAGACCCTTCTAGAAAGGCTATTGTCTATACATTAGCGCGAGCGAAGCGAGCTCTTGCTCTTTGTTCTCGCCTCGTATATTAGCAGAAGCTCGTCTCACAATCGCGAATAAGTAATTTTCGTCGACGTCTCTTTAGTGTGATTTAATGCGCAATCAGATCCTTGTCTGTATCTGGAGATGTTTAAATAAAAAATGTTGTCTGAATTACATTACTTGATCTCTTTAAGACGAACTAAATTGTGCTGTTAAATTTCCTCGCTCCCTGTCAATTCGACGCGAACAACTTCAAAAATAGATACTGTATACTTACTAGCGTAGTGCCATCCGCAATCAGTATACTTATTCGAAATCAAGCATGGAATTTCATTGCAACGATTTGCTCCTTTTTATACTTATGTATCAACAACGTACGCAGACAAAAATCAGCAAATCTATTTTCTGCATAGCATCGCCTTATTAATACATTATTCATGTCAACATTGATCACTAAAATTAGTTGCTCTACGATAAAAATGAAATGAATAAAATTTTATAAGCGTAATAATTTCTTTATTTCTGCTTAGTTTTGCCCATAATATTTCGTACATTCTTTTATATATTTTCAAAAGTATTTGACTGATTTTAACAATTTAACAGAGTCGCTATTGTTGGTATTATTATTATTATTATTATTATTATTATTATTATTATTATTATTTAAAAAACTTATTTCAATAGACATTGCTGTACTGATACTGCACTATGACGAATTGTGTTATATTTGCCTTCGTCGATATCACGCGCAGCCAACGCGGTATAAGTCGAATATAGAGCGCGTATATAGAGGCAATTTTGTTCATATCTGAAAAATTACTTTTCGGAACTAGATTTTAATACATCGTTATTTTTAACGATGCTCTTTCATTTCCGATATGTAAAAATTAAAAAATTTTTGAAAACAAGGATGGAGGTGGGAGTAAGCATTAAATAAATAATTTTAAAAAATTTGTTTATTGTAGTTATAAAGTATTCTTAAAATTATTCAATTTTTATTCAAAAAATTTTTTCTATCTCGTATAGTTTCGAAAATATTCGCTTTGAAAGAAAAAGACCGATCTTTTTCAAGGTTTCCTCCCATTTAAGATGCTCAGCCGGTATAAAAAAAATACGTATCTCTTATTTTTATCCATAAAACATACTAAAACCTCATTTAAATCAGAGAGGGATCTTTCGTTGTGTTCACTTGTAAGGTTTAAAGTTTCAAAAGAAAGATTTATACCTCTATTAAGTTGGACTATCCTCCAGCGCAAATTGAGTTCGGGCATAGTAAAAAATTTAGTGGTATCTTATTGCTAATTAGTTGCTCTAGAGTAAATTTTGTTGCTTCAACCGTTTAGCAATAAAAAAAATGGATGGGTCTAACATAATAGCAACCTGGATTCCCCCATATTAAAAAATATACATATACAGAACTGTAATATCAAAAAAAGGTACAACAGATTTTGTTGCTTTTTTGCTCCAAGATACTGCAAAGAAATATCAAAAAAATTACATTAAACAAATATCGATAAATAATCAAAACTGCATTGTCATGCGTAGCAGCGTTATGATTAAAAACTACATGTACAGAGTTAGCTGCTCACATGTTTTCACATAATTATTTTTCGTGTGCCATGGTTAGCAACAAAATTGAAAATGATCATATTTTGATAGTATATGTTACAAGGAACATTTTAGTACCAAAACATGTGAGTAACAAACTCTGTAGTTTTTGAAAAAGCAACAAAATTTGATGTATTTGTTTTTTTGATATTATAGCTCTGTATATATTTTTTTATTATGGGAGGTATAGTTTGTCATTAAGCTGGACCCACCCATTTTTTTTTACTGCTAAATGATTGGGACAACATAATTAGCTCTAGAGCAACTAATTAGCAACAAAATAATACTAAATTTTTAACTATGTCTGAATTCAATTTGCATTGATGGGAAGGTCCAGCTTAATAGTAAGATTTATATCATATTCAAATGACGTATATACGAATGCTGAATAAATTCTCGGAATAGTAAGCAAAGCAATAATTGTGTCTAACAGTAGGTGTTCGATTTTCTAAGAGATAGCGTTGCAATATGTTAGATAAGGATAGATGCGTTTGAGCGAGATACAATAATATATAATAAGTATAAGAAATAAATGAAAAATGTCACTATTATCAAATTTGGAATTTAAAAAAGTCTGTCGACCTCGATCAAATTTAGCCGTCGATCCTACATCCCCTTAACTTCCCTAACAATTAATAAATAGTCAAGGAAAGGCTCCTAAAAATAATAGGCTACGAATACGCATTGAGTAGAAACCAGTAATCATATTTTACGTGCTTTTTATGATTATTACTGACTACTAGTAGAGATAAGGATACCCTCGACCAATTTTTAAAGCACTCTCAACATTTTGTTTCAACTAAATTCTCTTTGTTTAGAAATGTTATGCAAAAAATTGAATGTGTGTCGCATTTTTTGCTTATGATGTCACGATTCAATATGGCTGAGATAAGCCTTAAAAAATGAAATTTCAAACAGCATTATAGAAACTGTCATGTTATCTGAAAACATTTTCTAGTTTATATTTATATTCTCAATATTTTATTTTTAGCTTTTGTTTAAAAAACGTAGTTCAAAAACGAAGTGATATAATGATTTCGATTCGTCTATATTATAGCATTGATAATTTTTTTATTTTGATTCAGAAGTAATCTTAAAAGTGAAGCCTTTAAACTAGAATGTTTCTTTAAAGTAATTTTTTTTTCTAGATGGCAAAAGTTTCATGGACATCTCCCAATTGATGACAGTGCATGCATCATTATGTGACATAGTGATGCTCATAAACACTGCTTATGGTGTTGTTGCGCTTATGATTACAATCACCTGCCTAATACATTTAATCATTACACCGTATTTTTTAATAATGGAAGCTTATGGTAGACGTGAACCATTTTTTCTTGCGGTACAAGGATTATGGTGCATCTTTCATATCTGGAGATTATACATGATCGTACAGCCTACGTATGCTGCTACAACACAGGTCGGTTCATAATTTAAATAAATATTGTAAATAAATTAAAATTACAATTTACAACGGTTAAAAGTAATTAAAAATATTACAGTTAAAAATGAAATTTCATAGTTTAAAAATCGACAGATATTTTCTATTTTCTGAAAGGAAAATAATTTAAATATTTTATAAATAAAATTAATAACAGATTACTGATAATTTAAATAAATACAAGATAAAAATGGATACATAATAAGGAGATAGGCATGAAAATTACTGCGCAGAATCAATAAATTTATACAATAAGCTAACGTAAAAATAACGTTGAAATAATGAATTAATTATTATATATATATTGGTTATTGCGAACAATATTACTTAAGCCTTCATGACCAACGATGAAAACGATCACACGGAATATTGGAGATCCGGATTAGATCCTTGGCCAAGATAATGTTTTTTGCAATATATTCTTTACAAAGATTTTAAGATATTTCTAATTAAATATGGGAGATCATTAATATTTTTAGATTGATTGCGTTGAAAGTCCAATTGTAATTGGCATGGTTACACTTCTAAGATAAATTAATTTAAAGAATATATATCTATTACGTTCAAACCCGTAGAGATTTTAATTTTATGATCCTACTGGAGAAAAGAGGAGCGAGAATGGTAAGGGTATCTGGTAGGACGCGGTCAGACTCTTGTCTCACAGATATCCGCACAGAAGCGAGTCGAACGCACCTTTTTTGTGTTCGCTTCCGGAATATGGGTCAACGTCCCGAAAAGACGCTGACATCTGTTTTCTACGAGCGGTGTGATCGTCGGTCAGAATTTCGAGGAATCTAATTCCTTTAACTCGGGAATGGACCACGTGCGATCTCTGAAAAGGACAAGATTAAACGACTATGATGTTTTTAGGATTTTAAAATTAAAGAACGAGAGAAAGATATAAAATTATTAGTAATGTTTATTGTTCCTGATCATTGTCAATCAAACAGAAGATAAAAAACAAGGTTATACCTCAATAAGTTTATTTATTACAACTAATTTACATATTACAAATCGATGCAATAATCTTTACTAATTAACATTTGACGACTATTTAACAATTATTTAAAATTTTATTACGTTAGTTGGATTAAATCATTAGAGAATGAGAATTCAGGGGAAACAGAGTACATTGGTTTTTGTTCATTCTATTTCTTGGATAATAACGAAAGAAGAAGGAAAGAGATTATAAAAGAATTCCACCGGGACTAAATAAGGGTTGGCGGAATCCGGAATAAATACTGGAATACATACTGGAATACAGGAAGATTGGAATACAGAGAAGATTGATCGGTAATTCCATGCTGGATTTCGTCTGCATCGAAATAATGAGGACCGACCGTAAAAGTTCCCTCGGCAATAGGTGCGGCAATAGATGCGAAAATTGTCTGATGAGTGACTCAAACGAGTCACTCTCTTGGATGGAAATAGGATCTAGAAGGAAGAATTTCTTCTAGGAACGCTGTCGTCGGAGACGGAGTTCCTCTGAGGGAAAGTGGGATGGAAATGACAGATGAATCAGGTGTTACCGGAGGGATGTCGGGGAAAATTCGTTCTGTTAGAGTGTCCGAAAACGCGGGTGACGGAGATCGAAGAGGAGGTGAAGGAGTTCGAGAGGGAGGTGAAGGAGAAGGAGGAGGTATCACCTCTAACGCGTTTAAGTGAGCAGGTATAGCCGGCGAAGCCAGTGGTGGCGAAGTTGGTGGAGGCAATGCGTCCTCGGCTAGGCAACTCCGATCTCGAGAGCTCTCAAGGTGCTCCTGGTATGCTTGGTTCAAGAGTTGGTCCCCGCTTCACGGAGGCCCGGCTTCTAAGCCAACTTTTGTAGGAACGGTTTAAGCATGGCACTATGGTTTAGCGTGGGTTAGGTTTCGTGATGAGTATACGGATATATATATATATGTCGAGATGGGACTTACTGCTGCTCTGCAAGGTTACGCTTTTGAGAATGACTGTCAAAGGTCTCTGTAATTGTCCAAGGGGAGAGTTGATCCAGCGGTTTGGAGAGTAACTTCGGTTACTTGAGTCACGAAGTAAACGAATAAGATCGCTCGAATTGATCGCGGCTCGCCAAGATCGGTGTAGTGGTTGCGGACCGGCAGAGTGTCGGCTAGCTGGATGATTTGTATAATCACGAACTGACAGAGTTTCGTGTCGAAGATGGAGCTGTCTATCTATAAAAAGCCTTCTTTTTATATTTGCAAGCTAGTGGTGCCGAGTGCAGGCCTCGTATATGATACTGGTCTAATCTAGGATTAAGGATATCGGTTGTGAAATGCGATACTGGCATATATGTCTAAGACAACTTTCGTCATCGATCATTTGACGGATGTTCAATAGTTTAGAGCCACATGTGTAATTTATTATCGACAACTGCTTGTAATTCTTAATCTATTTACTTCTTCTGTCCCTCGGAATAAAGTCCGTCTATTCGGCACTTGGTTCAAATTTTTAACCCAACAACTTCGTCCCGAGTGGATTATTAGTCTTAAAAAGGCGAATGTTATTCGACTCGCCACTATTGTAACTCCCTATGATAGAAACAGATGGTGTTACTTGTTAATAACTTTTATGGTGATGACGAAAATTCTAGTCGAAGAAAAGAACTGTGCAGTCTGGACGTAACATATTAATTAGTTCGATATTTAACTTTGACCGAAAGTGGCGTTTCTCGTAGTTAACCGGTGTACATACATAAGTGGTCTCGTTTCTAATTATTAATGTTTTACATTTATCAAAAAATATTTATTTATCAAAAAATAAATAATCAAAAGAGTATAGCGGAATAAGTATGTGAAATCTGCCCCGTACCAATTGAGCTCAAATTAATGTAGACACCTATGAGATGTAAAATTCCCTCAAAAGTTGAAATTGCATTTTTGTGAGAGTTATGGAAGGGAAAAGCAAACTAAAAATAGTGATTTCTCTCGAAAACGGCTGGACCGATTTTAATGAAAAAAATATATGATATAAATATTGAAGGTAAACATAGAAGAAAAAGTAACTGTAACAAAATTTTTTGTGATTTTTGTGATAAATAAAAAAACCGGTAAAAAAATTTTTGACTTTTCTATGAATTTTTTTGACTATATATGTATTTTAGTGAACAAAGGTAGTATAAAAGAAGGGCAAGGAGCCAATAACGTATAAAAGAATTATAATTTAGATAAGCAAACCTAATACATAAAATAAAACAAAACGTATAATAAATAAAACAATTAAAAGACAATAAAATAAAACAAACGTTTCAACTCCAATTGAGTCATTTTCAATGCAATCTTACAATAATATAAATATCGTTCTAAATTAAAAATTCGTACATAATCTTACAATATTCTTACAATTCCTTAACAAAAAATTTCTTCTTTCTGTGTAATACGCTGTGAGTCATTTTTATCAAGAATTAACAAAGTCATAAGAAAGTTCTGGAAAAGTAACCGTAAACAAAAAGAATTAATATTAATCACATAAAAATTAAAAATATGATAATATACCTTAGTAAATCTGTTAAGAGTCCAATAATACACAACGAGAAAAAAATGTAAAATGTGGTCCATTTCGTGGTACAATAAAAAAGTCTTTTTCATTTAATAGGTTATTATAAGCAATTTCGCAAAGGTAACGAGCATCTGACTTAAACGATGTCACAAAACGAAATGTCAAACAGAAAAACATTATCGAGAACGGAAAACGGAAAAATAGGAGGAAAAGTATAGAAGATGTTAGAAAGGAGAAAGAGAATGTATAATGTCAAAATACAAATCCGGCAAAGACTCCGTGTCATTTTGTCTATTAATCCCATGCTTCTGTTTTTTAATCTGGATCATTTCAGATATCAACCTTTTGTTGTATGAAAGCTCTATATCTAATATTTCCACTTTATCCCATTTAAAGTTATGATTCTCCACCATACGATGGTTGGAAATCACTGATGGAGATTTTGAACTTATATTGATATCAGAAACATGTTCATGCAATCTGGTCTTTAATTGTCTTTTAGTTTGGCCAACGTAACTGGCATCACAATCCTCACAGGATATTCTGTAAACCACATTTTGATTCTGAACGTGTTCCAAATCATCCTTTCCTCTCCTTATAAAACTTCTCAATGTGTTAGGAATAGTAAAAGCCAATTTCCAATTAAACATATTAACAATAGGTATAAATCTTTCGGATATCGTATTAACATATAGAATCGTAAAAAATCTCCCAGTGTCATTCTTATTCTTATTCAAATTATTAAACTTATTAATGTGATATTTTATTCTATTATGAATGGTCGAAAAAATAAAACGTAACGGATACCCATTCTGTAAAAAAATCTTAATAGCGTCAATCAAATTATTTTGTTGGAATTTCGGATGACATAAACAAAAAATCTTATCCACGACTCCATAAATCACACCTCTTTTATGACAAAGTGGGTGGTGTGAATGGAAATTAAGAAATCTACCGGAAAAGGTTGCTTTACGGTATATATCAAAAATGAGATTCCGTTCATCGATAATCAACATCATATCTAAAAAACTTATTTTTCCATCACCATGGTGAGCCTATCTCCATGGTGAACTGCAATCTAGTATGTAACGAATTAAAAACATCCAAAATATCATAAATACTTTCAGAAGGAGCGGCTAAGATAATATCATCGACGTATGGGTAGTAAAACAGCAGACGACAAGGCAGCATTCTAATAGCCATCTTTTCAAAATCCTGCATAACAATATTTGCAACAACAGGTGGACAGCTCTCTCAATTCCATCTCTCAATTCTATCAATGTCACCGTTGCTCAAAATAAATTAAAGTACATATCCAAGATGGAATTGATACTTTCGGATAAAAATACATATGAATTAATAACTAAAGATCCTACTAAAAAACTTACGGGTGATTTACGTAAC